GTATTAGATCCACAAATGATAGTTCTAAATTTAATAGGAATTTTAAAAATTTTGGACAGATAAGTAAGCATGGAAATTGTATATTATTAATTTTAATTTTTAACCTTTTATAGAAAGCTGTTAATAATTTTAATTTTCAACCTCTTATAGAAAGCTTTTAATAATTTTAATTTTTAACCTCTTATAGAAAGTTGTTATTAATTTTAATTTTTAACCTCTTATAGTTGTAAATTAATCCAATATAATAGGAGAAATAGTTAGGAAGAAAAGTGTTGAAATATATTTATATTCATAAATTCCATTAGTTGGTTCTCTCTGTGATTAGTTTCATTCGATTCAGGGCTTAAAAATTAACATAGAGAGATCGTGAATAAATAGAGAGAAGTTCGCCCGAGATACAAAGGTCTTTGCTGTCAAACAAAGAAATTAGTCGTTATATAATTTCTAACACAATTAATTAATAAATTTTACATTCTAATTATTATACTCAATCTATTATAATTATTATATTTATTCATTTTAATTACATTAATTAATTTTACATGCTTAATAACTTTACCAAACATATGTTTTAAAAAAACAAAAAAGTTTATGAAAATTTTATCATGAATCCTGAGTCCATCCGAACCTTCATCTAACTGAAATACTAATGAAACATTGTAATTTTTATACATAAAACCTTAATAACTACTAAAAATACTTCTAACACCTCGAATTTAATCGCATTCGATTCAACGTAAAGAAAAACAGTGGAAAATTTTTTTTCCCTGTATAGAGGAGATTTACTTCTTCCTTCAATTTTAAACAACTGACAAACATTTCAGCATTAAAATACGTGGAACATTAAAAATGTTTTTAGAAAAGCACAATGCATAAAACATATGCATTTAAAATGCATAGAACATTTAAAAAGTGTTTAGCTTTGAAAAAAGTATTTAATTTTAAGTAAAAGAAAAATTTTATTTCTTAGTAAGCATTCATTACAAACTATAAAAAATAATAATTCGTTTTGAAACCTTTCTATTATTTAAGATTCACAATGAGCTATTGGCGATGGTCAGGAAAACATTTGTGAGAATGATCCGGACACAACATACATACGTCACACAACATCCAACCGTAAGCAGATCGTATATTTAATCTGAACTAGAGAACGATCAATCTTCAATTCAATACCCCCAGAAGTATAATTTGTTAGGAGAACATGGAGGATTTCTGTGACCCCACAGATTTAGCGTGCACCAGTCACCATTTACTATACAGGAGAAGTCTACGGATCGAACTCACGACGTCTTGAACCGTTTTGAAACCAATCAGAAAATGAGTTTTTCAAAAATACATTTTTTAGCCTGTTAATAGTGTTTAATGTTTGTGCTAGTCCAGTTTTTCTCTTTTCTTTCAAAAGAAAAATGAGAGCTAAATTAGGTAAACAAAAGAGGCAGTACTTGATACAAAAAGAAAGGTATGTCATGCTTCAATTTTTAAGGTTACATGGTGGTAACACACACATCACCTAACCTGGATATGTAGGCTCTAAGCCTACCACCTAGCCCCATTTCTTATGGTTTTAGTCATGTTAGGAATGTGATATAATTTTGACGACACCTAATTTGGTACACCTCTTAATCTCACCACAACATCTTTCAGTCACAGTAGATTTTAAAGATTAAACTTGCAATTCACAACTGATCATCACAATGCCATACTAAGCCTAACACCTTCTAGAATAAAGCAGCATGGATCAATTTAGTTATTCAACATAATAAACGTAAACTGTTCAGTGGAGGAAATTAAGAAAGATGTCACTACATTTGAGTTACTAAGCAGCACAAATCTAACTTCTTGTTCCCCGTGCTATGGACTTCTCTCTTTTAGGAGATACCTATTGATTGAGCTTCGCTTCAGAAACACACAAATACCACTCTTTTTTGATTCTAGAAAAACTGCTTTCTCACAGCATAACTCACGCTTCAAATCAACATTTTTTCTGACTAAAAATTTTCAATAAAGCAATTAAAAAACTTGCAATAAATACTTAAAACTTGCAATAAAAATGTGGTGACATGTCTTAACAGTTTTCAAGTAAACAAATGCAAATGTAAAAATTACAGATGCCCCCTTTCAGGTAAAATCAATTTAAAATTTTGCAAAAATTCTATTATGGACAGTAATGTTCAAAATAGCAGAAAAATTTTACAAATTTCTCCCTAATGCTTAAAAGAAAACACAAATAGGAAATTTCACATTATATTCTATTATAATATTTGTATCACATAATGGTGATCAACGCTAATATTGAAATGCAAGTGATTCATTTTAAAAAAACACTGTGTCGTGTTTCAAAACGAGTATATGTATTACAGATGCACTGTTACAGTTCAATTCAAAATTCTGCCAAAAAGCACACTCTTTCTCAAGTAACAGTGTTTATATATCGCAATTGAGGATAATTAAAAAAATAATAGAAACCAAATATTACAAAAATATAATATAAACCAAAAATAAAGCTTATAAGATATGCAGCTTGTGCTCAATGACAATGAAACCACTTGCTACATGAGTACTTTCCCAATATTAAAATTGTCAGAATGAATTAATTAATCAAAAAATGTCCCCACCCCTTACTAACAATTATTTGAAATTTTAATCTAATCTTTAATCTAATCTCTAAATTTTATCTAAATTTTAAATAAATATCTACTTTAAATGTGAAAAATCATTCCCAAAACTATTTTTAGTTACAAAACTTAATTATTTAAAATATTACAACAAAATAAAAAAAAATTTGTACTGTTATCTAAAATTGCAATGTCAATTTGCTCCCTTGAGGGCAGCTTGATTATTAGGATTACTATTGCTTTGATTACAGGGGTGATTGTGAGCCCAACTCAAAAATCCTCAAAATTTCTTAAGTAAAATCATTTATGACGCATTTCAAACAGGGTGTGTAGTCAAATTTATCAACAAAAAATAGGCACCTTTTAAGCACTCAAAAAATATTTTTAAGCTCTTTGAAAAATATCATAATTAGACAAGGTTGGCAAGTTTTTGACAATTGATGGTTTTATCCGGTTTTATTTACAGTGACGAAGATGATGGTGCATCACAAACGATGAAATTAATAAGAGAAATAAAATTTTCTATCATTAATAGGAAAAAAAATTGACTATGTTCAGTTGGTCCCCGTAATCAGCAAAAATTCGAGAGATTTTTCAATTCTATTACAGAGGGCGGGAAATGAAGTCTGAAATTGAGAATATCTTGCAAAAAGCAGCAGGGTTGCACATGAGAGTCAAAAATCTTTACCGCTGAATCCAGCTTGGTATACCTAAGTGGGGNGTTCGGTCCGCCCGCAAAGTGATCAAAGGTGAGAGATTTTTCAATTCTATTACAGAGGGCGGGAAATGAAGTCTGAAATTGAGAATATCTTGCAAAAAGCAGCAGGGTTGCACATGAGAGTCAAAAATCTTTACCGCTGAATCCAGCTTGGTATACCTAAGTGGGGACCCGCAAGTATTTAATCAAACACAGTACCGTTCCTGGGGTGGCGAACGCCTGCGAGCAAGAATAATTTTGTGCGCCCCTATATACTATGCTTATACTTCGAATAGTTGAATTTGGCGCCTTTTAAATTGGGCGCCTGCGTGTGGGGCATTCGCTGCATACCCGCCAGGAACGGCACTGATCAAAAATATAAAACAAATGGTGTACACTACAGACCGGCGGTGCGCCGAAATAGATTGGGGTTGAATTAATTGTGAAAACCTTGAATAGGACAATGTCCTTTTGCATAATTTGTGGCGAAAAATCAACATGTTAAGGAAAAATATCACATTTCGGAAAAGGGAAAATTAAGCACCTTTTAAAAACATCCATGGAAAAAAGCACCTTTAAGGGCTTTTAAAAATCAAAAATAAGCACCTTTAAGCACTTTTTAAAAACAATACGCACCCTGTCAAAATATTAATGTCTTTATAAATTTAAATCATTGATATTTTCACAACATGAAATTCTAAAAAATTATATGCAGCATAATTTAAATTTAAGTTTACTTTTATCTCGAATTAAATTTATTATTTTACCAGAAAAAAATATTTAGAAATGAAAGAGATGACAAAGATAAATTCTAGTTCTTATATTTTTAAATAAAATATACATGAATATTTATACATAAATGTGATCGATAATTTCTTGAAACTTCTGGACCTTGGATTTCCAGAACATAATTGGCGAAAAATCCAGATTTTTTCCAGAGCACAATCATCTCTGTGATTATCAAGATATAAAATTAGATTCAATATCACATGAAAGTTCATAGAAGTTATTAAATACTTTTGGAGAGTCAAAAATTAATTTGAAAGAAATTTAATTCATCTTTTAGACATTTATTTTTATCATTTAGAAAATTAGACATGTTGCTACTTAACAAATTAATATAAAACTGTACACTCAACCTATATTCATAGCTGGATTGATTTTTTTGAAAAATTATTCACTGATATTCCAGCTTGAAAAATAAATACCAAAAAAAATATTCTTTATCTAACTAGTAAACCTTTCCATAGAATACTTTCATTTAAATTTCTACATTAACGGAACATAGCAAAACAATAAAAATGTGAATATTAAATTGACTTTATTTAAAAAGATTAAACACACATGTTTATTAATAATATAGTGTTATTTTAGTAAAAAAAAAAAATGCTAAAATACTAATTAATGTTTTTTTAAATCAAACCTTTTCAAATATTTCAGAATTCATATAAAAAAAACTGAATGTTTTTTTTCATAAAAAATTTAGAAGAAAAAGAATATATAAGTAATAGCCTATTTTACATCAAAGCCACATTCATTTGAAAACAAAAATTTTAACCTAAATTGTAAATTTAACTTTAAACTGTAGTTTTAATTCAAAAGACAATTATACTGTAATTAAGTACATAAACAAACGATAAGTGAAGTAAATAAAGAATGGATTAATCAAAAACGTTCATTAATACCGTTGATATGGAAATGTAGCTGCAGAAGCCGTATGATTTTGCGCTAATTCACTTTCCTTTTCATCAAAAGTGTTCAATTGTACATAGGATCCGTGAGTAACACGGTTAACAGACGAATCACGATTCATTATGAGTGTAAAAAAGTCTTAATGAATTCAGTATATTTAAGTATAAAATAGTTTTTTTTTACTATAAAAACATTTCTTTACATAAAACGTCAAACTAAACACAAACGTCGGTGGTTACCATGTTACGCAATACTGTTTGTAAACAGTTAAATGTACAGTTAATGATTCTAAAGGAATATTTTTTCCCTTTTTGGAAATTTATTTTGCTTAAAAATTTAAAAGTTAACGCCAAAAAGCATGATGACAAAAAAAAACCTTTTAACCACTCCCCAGTTTCCAAAATTGCATTTTTCCTCATGGTGTTCACCATATAAGCTACAAGTTCCGTTTTCGATGTTAGTCGAGGAAGAATGAGAATCTGATTGGTGAAATATTCTCTTGCGAAAAGCTTGCGATCGTTTTACGTAAAAAAAACTTGTAAAAGTGCATCATTTACTTATTGGTGATCGCAACGCTCGAATACGCCATCTGGGGAGAGACCGGTTTCAAGTCTTTTCAGTTGTATAGGAATGTACTGCGATATTTTCCCTTTTCTTAATATATTTCCTTTTTATTTAATAAAAATATTTGCTAAAATTTCCGCGATGCTTTTCTTTAGAACTATGTTTAATGTTGTTTTCAGTTCCATATAGTTTTCAACTTAAAAGATTTTAATCTATATGAAAATCAAGATCGAAACTAACGTACTTCCTTCCTCTATGACTCTCCGCAGGTTAATGGGGAAAGCACGTGAAGTGTTGCCATTGGTAGAGAGTTCTGCTCTACACCACCTGCAGCCCATTTCGAACGCCAGTAGTATTTTCAATAAAACGCGTTCTTTCAATTTAAATTTTAACCAAGGAAATAACAAATGAAAGCGGAAGACTCCGAAAGCATGCCATGATGCTATCTAAAAAATAACAATCTGCGATATTTTGCACTAATATAGACAAATAAGGGATAATGCTCAAAACGTGACAAACCTTACACTTTATTTATGCTGTGATATTTTTACCCATTGGCAAAATGGATCTTCGTTTGGATTTCGTGGCGTCCTCACTTTTCAACTACAATAATCAAGAATTACTTTTAAATTTAAAACTACACCGCCGGACGAGTGGCAATAATTTCTTTACTACAATGTTTTAAAATGACTGAAACTTCAACTGAATTACTTTTAAATTTAAAACTACAAGCGCCGGACGAGTGGCAATAATTTCTTTATAGCAATGTTCTAAAATGACTGAAATTTAACAGAATTACTTTTAAATTTAATACTACACCGCCGGACGAGTGGCAGTAATTTCTTTATTGCAATGTTTTAAAATGATTGAAATTTTAACAGAATTACTTTTAAATTTAATACTACACCGCCGGACGAGTGGCAATAATTTCTTTATTACAATGTTTTAAAATGACTGAAATTTTAATAGAATTACTTTTAAATTTAAAACTACACCGCCGGACGAATGGTCATAGTTTTTTCACTTCAATGTTTTAAAATGACTGAAATTTTAACAGAATTACTTTTAACTTTGAAACTACACCACCGGACGAGTGGCAATAATTTCTTTATTACAATGTTTTAAAATGACTGAAATTTCAACAGAATTACTTTTAAATTTAAAACTACACCGTCGGACGAGTGGCAATATTTTTTTCATTTAATATTAATAATATAAAATTATTTAATATTATAAAATTATATTTTGAAACATTGCAATAAAGAAATTATGAAGACATAATGGTTTTAAAAAGATGTCTGCCCTTTGGAAAATTCTGAAGCAACTAAAGGAACCATTTGAGCAGTTAATTTAATTCTTTAAATTTTCTAGTCATAAAATTTTACTCAAATTTTTTTTGAAAGTTTTTAAATTAAATTAAGTAACTTTTATTAGTCCAATCTTTAAATACAAAAATTTTTTTAATTTTCGAAACTAGGTCTAAAAGAGCTTTCAATGAATAAAAAGAATTACATAAAATAACGGAATTTAGTTTGTTAATATACTATAGTACACAATGAGAAAAATTCCTTAACCTTTGACGCAGATGAGCCAGTTTCCCTTTTATGTATTCTTGACACTTTAATTGCAAGTAAAAATATATTTCGGTATATTAAATCGTAAAATCAGTCTAATATTTACTAAAAAATCTGTTAAATAATCTGAAATCTGTACTGAAATACATAATCCAAAAAGTAGTTTCAATTTTTTTTCCATTTATGATCAAAAATTTAATAATTGATTTTGTTAATTAAGGAAACTTCAATAATTAACTACTATTTCTTAGATCTAATTTAAAATAAGTGTAAATTTAGAAATGAGCCGCGTTGGATGAATTGATTACCTTTTCAGCAGAAACAAAAAACTGATGCGGCATTCTCTATTTAATAATCATAAATGATCAAAATTCGAACTATAATATTTTCAATTGTTATACTGTGTTTTATACAATATAATGAAAAAGTACGACATGTTTCATAAAAATTCTTCGTCAGAGAATTAAGAACACTTCATTAAGTTTATCAGAAATGTGTACACTTTAATTAGTAGATTACTTACGAGAATTTATATAACTAGATTATTAAGTTCGGGTAATAATGAAAAACTAAGAATGAGATTTAATAATGGTTTTGAAAAGGTCTCTGCCCTCAGTATTTAAAAAAGAATTCTGAAGAAGATAAGTAAACCATTTGAACAGTTTATTTCATTCAGTAAATTTTGTTCTAGTCAAACTAGTCACAAAATTTTACTAAAAAGTTTTGAAGTTTTTGATTTTGAAAGTTTTAAAAATGCTTTAAAATTTGAGAAAATTTTTTAGTCTAACCTTTAAATACAAAAACTTTTTAACTTTGGTAACTAAATTCAAAAGGACTTTCAATGAATAAAAAGAATTCGATAAAATTTACGGAATTTAGTTTGTTAAACTACTAATACCCAGTGAAAAAATTCTTTAACCTTTGACGCAGATGGGACACCGGTTTCCCTTTTATATATTTTTCAAGCTCTCTAATTACAAGTAAAAATATATTTTGATATTTTAATTCTAAAAACAGTTTAATAGTTATTTAAAAACCTGTTAGATTATCGGTACTGTATACTAGAATATAAAATCCAAATAAGAAATTTTCAGTCATATTTCAAAAACTTATAATTTGTTAATTGCATAAATTTCAGTGATGAATAACTATTTCTTAGTTCTAATTAACTGCAAATAAAAACAAATTTGTAAATAATAGAAATGAGAAGCGGTTTAAAAATTTTACTTTTAAAGGAGAAAAAATGCTGCCATTCTGTACTTTAGAATAGAAAATTAAAATGCTTAATATATTTTCATTTGCTCTGAACTTATAATACAATTAAAATATATGAAATAGATATAGCAAAAAAACACAATTTTGACAGTTTTTCCCTGCTGTCGGAGCACTTACATTGACTGGAAAAATCACATGGTGGGATACACTTTTTCCTCACTCATATCCAGATTGTTATCAGCATAAAAAATCAAAGGGTATTGTTTTTCTATAAATATGTGTGTATCCCTAATTTAAAGGTAATTTTCTCTACTACTATTATTACACTTTTAATTCAAGAATTTAAAACTAAGAGAATTGCTTTTTATTTTATTATAATAACGTAATTCTGGGCTACATTTTAAAATAAAGTTACTTAAAAAAGGTGTCTATTTATAATTATTTTTGTGCAAACATTAATATATTGTTATAAAACTTAATNCATAATCCAAAAAGTAGTTTCAATTTTTTTTCCATTTATGATCAAAAATTTAATAATTGATTTTGTTAATTAAGGAAACTTCAATAATTAACTATTATTTCTTAGATCTAATTTAAAATAAGTGTAAATTTAGAAATGAGCCGCGTTGGATGAATTGATTACCGGTTTCCCTTTTATATATTTTTCAGGCTGTCTAATTACAAGTAGAAATGTATTTTGATATTTTAATTCTAAAAACAGTTTAATAGTTATTTAAAAACCTGTTAGATTATCGGTACTTTATACTAGAATATAAAATCCAAATAAGAAATTTTCAGTCATATTTCAAAAACTTGTATTTTGTTAATTGCATAAATTTCAGTGATGAATAACTATTTCTTAGTTCTAATTAACTGCAAATAAAAACAAGTTTGTAAATAATGGAAATGAGAAGCGGTTTAAAAATTTTACCTTCATAGGAGAAAAAATGCTGTCATTCTGTATTTTATAATAAAAAATTAAAATGATTAATATATTTTTATTCGTTTTGAACTTATAATACAATTAAAAGGTATGAAATAGATATAACATAAAAACAAAATTTTCTGACAGTTTTTCCCTGTTGTCGGCGCACTTAAATTGACTGGAAAAATCACATGGTGGGATCCACTTTTTCCTCACTCATATCCAGATTGTTATCAGCATAAAATATCAAAAGGTATTGTTTCTCTATAAATATGTGTGTATCCCTAATTTAAAGGTAATTTTCTCTACTGCTATTATTACACTTTTGATTCAAGAATTTAAAACTAAGAGAATTGCTTTTTATTTTATTATAATAACGTAATTCTGGGCTACATTTTAAAATAAAGTTACTTAAAAAAGGTGTCTATTTATAATTACTTTTGTGCAAACATTAATATATTGTTATAAAACTTAATGATCAGCTTCATGCACAATGTGATGCAAGCAAAAATGGTATTTAACATATCTGCCCGATTGATAAGCGAAAATATTAAATTACGGTCGTGAACTCAAATTTGTTTGAACAATATAAACGTTATAAAAAAAGATTACTTAGAAAAATTACTTTTGTTCAACTCTAAATCAAAATATTTATAATACCAATAGATAATATTTGGACGTGGGGAAGTGGAGGCACAAGCGTAAGCAAACACAATTACTTTTAATACGTATATGTAAGTGAGTAATTTTAACTAAAGAAAAGCCGTTTTCTGCCAAGAAACAGCAACTATTGAGATGAAATCATCGAGGTTCTTGAGCGGTAGCGAACAGGGGGGTCAGCCCCTGTTCGCTACCGCTACAAGCGCACCTCCCAAATATGAGTAAGAGCGCCATGCTCTTCCTCGCTATATCTTCTGCTCTCTAAACTTCATCGGTAATAAATATTTGGTGTAAACGCGGCAATAATCGCGCCAAGCTAGTTTACCGGCTAAGTAGTGAAGAATCACCTGAGGCTTTGAGTC